TCTATGAAACGATTTCATTAACTTATCGAGGAAGCTTTCTTGTGCCAATTAAGTTTCCTTTTCTGCCTGTACATCGTATTGCTGTTCAGTTGTCCATTCCACGCATAGACAATAATATTCAAACTTGTGCAAATCAACCATGTAGACATGGTCAATGTATCAGATATTCACAAGATCCTAAAGGTACTACGTTTTGTCATTGTAATCAAGGATGGTCTGGACGATACTGTACTATTCCACATACTTGCATGTGTTCATCCGATTCTTTATGTATTGGAGTTTTACCAAATAATCGATCTATTTGTGTTTGTCCGATGTATAAATTTGGTTCTCCATGTTTAATTGAAAATACCATTTGCCAATCTAATAAAAATGCATGTCTTAATGGCGGTCAATGCATATCTGTTGATAGACATTGGTCATTCCACGATGGATTCTTTTGTATTTGCCCAAAAGGCTTTACTGGAAAAAATTGCCAGATACCCGACACGAAAATTACAGTATCATTTCATAAAGATATTCGATTGCCACAATCCATGATTGTTCATTTCATTGAAATAATGGATGGCAAGTTGCATAGTAATCGCAGTGCTTTCAAAACGATTCTTCTTCATCAAAATATAGTCACCATTCACACGGCATATCCTTTCGACATTGCTTTAATTCAATTGTTCGACAAGGGCATCTATATAATTGCTGTTCAAGAGTCCTACAAAGAGTCGGTGACTTTTGTAACAAAAGTCAAGCCATCAGATCGTGGTAAACATTTAAGCGAAATATTGAATGACACTATTGTCAAATTACATCTTATGCGTCGCATTAAATATTACCATGTACCATGTCAAGAAACATCACCATCATTGTCTTGTTTCTATGATGATACGCATCTCTGTACGTGTAATAATTTCGGCCATCACCGTGTAGCCAATTGTTTTGAATTTGATCCCAAGCAAAAACTTGATTGTTTCGGACGACAAAACTGTGCAAATGGAGGAAAATGTTTGCAAGACCGTGTACTTTGTCCAGAAATGT